ATTTAACTATTGTACGAGAGGAATTAGTCGAGTTAATTTATGGTATACCAGTTCCGATGACCATAGGTCATCCGACGGCTGGAATGCTTTATTAATAAAGGATAACGACTGAAAGCATATAAAGTTGGAAACCCACCAATTGAAATTCCTTAGTAATGAGATACGCATAAAATTAATGCGTTATAGGCTATAAGTAATAATATTGTAAAATATACGCTATATAGTACTAAAAATCAAGTAACTTTGTATATAAAAATTAAAAAAAAAAATAAGTAAATTTCATTATATAATATATAAAAAATATATAATTTTTTATATGTCTAGTTATGGGAGTTTAATCTTAGCTCAGAATGAACAGTAATTATTAGCTTAACACATGCTAGTTTAGCTCAGAACGAGCAGCGAAAGGGTGAGTAAAACAGTAAAGAATCTACCCTAAAGTAAAGTTAAATACTTTATAAAATTAACAAAGTTAGCTTTAGGATGAATTTAGAATTTGGATTAGGTAGTTGGTAATTTAATAGTTTACAAAGCCTAAGATCCATAGTTAATCTGAGAGGATGATTAACCACAATGATAATGAAAAAAGAATCATGGGTTTTAAAAACTCCAGCAGTGAGGAATATTGGACAAGGTTCGAAAGAACGCTCCAGCTAAATAATTAAAAAGAATAGGTTGCGATATTTATTTTTTTTTAAGTTATAAATCATCATGAGTTTATATCTCTATTTACTTATCCTGACTAATTTCGTGCCAGCAGTCGCGGTAATACGAAGAGGATAGCTGTTATTCTTCATAAATAGGTGTAAAGAGTTATTAGACGGTAAAATAAATTTGATTAATAAAAAAAATAAAGTTTATAAAATTAATTATTAAATTATTTTACTTGAGTATCTTAAAAAGAAATTGGAATGCGAAATGTAAGGATGAAATCTCTTAATATTTTTTAGAATGCTAAAGGCATAGGCTTTTTTCTATAAATTACTGACGTTGAGTAACTAAAGTGTGGGTAGCGAAAAGGATTAGAGACCCTATTAGTCCATACCATAAACGATGAATGTTAAAGGATTTATAATTCTTTTGATTTACATTTTAAACATTCCACCTGGAGAGTACTAAGGCAACTTTGAAACCCAAAAGAATAGACGGTCTTCTAAACCAGCAGTGAAGCATGTTGTTTAATTAGATGATCCACTAAAAATCTTACCTTAAAATTAATATTTTTTTTGTATTTTGTCTTTAGTTGAATAATTATATTCATTATTAGATAAATCAAAAAAATAATACTTTATTTTTTTTAAAACAGGCGTTACATGGCTGTCTTTAGTTCTTGTATGTGAAATGTCGGGTTAAGTCTTAATAAAGAACGAAAACCTATATTTAGTGTCTATTTTTTATTTAAATAAAAAAATCCTAAATTTTTAATAATAATAATATATAAAAATTATAATTATTTTTAATTTTTTTTTTCATGAAGGTGAGAAATAATAATAATAATTTTTTTTTTTTTTAATAATAATTTTTAAATTATTATTTATATTATTATAGGATTAAGACAAGTCATCATGACCTTTATAAATAGGGCTATAGACGTGCCACAATAGTTTAAACAATAAGTAACAAAATTTCAAAATTTAGTTAATCTATAACTTAAACTACGTACAGATAAGACTCTGAAACTCGAGTATTTGAAGTAGGAATTGCTAGTAATCGTGGATAATAATGCTACGGTGAATAAAAAAAACTGGATGGTGTACTAATCGCCCGTCAAGGGCTGAAAGTGAATGTGACACGAAGCTTTGTATATATATAAAATAAAATAAAAATAATAAAAATCTTTTTTTTATTTTTATCTTATATGTTATGCTTGTTACTTCTCATTCATAATTAGTTTTAAGTCGTAACATAGTAATCGTAGGGGAACCTGTGGTTGATTAATTATTACTTTAGAAAAAACATATAAAAAAAATATGTAATAATTCTAAAAAAATATGTAAAAGATATTAAAAGTAGAATAAAAAAAAAATAATAATTCGATAATGAGTTATAAATTTTCAAAATAATTTATTAAATATTAATTTATTTTTATATATATACGGATGTGGTGAAATGGTAGACACGTTATATTTAGGATATGATAGTATTATACTATGTGGGTTCAAATCCCACCATCTGTAAAATATATAATTAATATAAAAATATTAACCATTATAGGTTAATTGGTAAACTATCTTTCTTCCAAAAAGATGTTATTCGTTCAATTCGAATTAATGGTATTTTTATAGGCTTTGTAGCTTAATGAAAGCTGTTGTTTGTCGAACAACCAGTTGCCGTTTCGTAGACGGTCAAAGCCGAATAAAAAAAATATAAGGGGATATAATATAATGGTAGTATATGGTTTTTGCAAAACTAAAGTAAAAGTTCGATTCTTTTTATCTCCAATTAATTAATAATTTTTATAAAGATATATTAATTATTAATTAATTTGAAATTAATTTTTTCAAAAAAAATTTATATTATACATCATTAAAAAAATAATATTTTTTTAATGAAAATTTATTTCAGAATTTCTTTTTTTATTTGTTTTATTTTTATATTTTTTCTAATTTACTTATCTAATAATTATAATAGTAGTTTTAATTTTAATATATTAAATCCCTTAAATTTAATATTAATAAACAATCAAAATCCTGATATAAATTCAGGTATAATATATATTTATTCTAATATAAAATTATTGTTTGAGAATATAGATAATTCTTATTTAATTGATTTATTTAATTATTTAATTAATAATTTAAATATAGAATCTATATTTTTAATAATTTTATTATTTTTTTTAATATTTATTATATTTATGATTATTTATATTATAAAAAATTTTTTTACTGTTTTTAATGATGCACCTGAAATATTTCAATTTTCATTTCAAGATAGTGCTACTACATCAATGGAAGGAATAAATATATTAAATAATACTATTTATTTCTATGAAATTATTATATTAATTTTAATAACTTGGATTTTTATATCTATTTTTTTTAAATTTGTAGGTAATTCAATATCTTATAAATATAGTAATCATAGTCCTAACTTAGAAATAATATGAACTTGTACTCCTGCATTAATATTTACTTGTATTGCTTTTCCTAGTTTTAGATTAATTTATTTAATAGATGAAATAGAAGAAACAAATTTAACTATTAAAGTAATAGGTCACCAATGGTATTGGAGTTATGAATATCCTGATTATAATAATGAAATTTCATTTGATTCATTTATGCAACCTACGGATGATTTAGAAGAAGGACAATTTAGATTATTAGAATTAGATAATAATCCAATTTTACCAGTTGGTACACCTATAAAAATTATAACTACTTCTAGTGATGTTCTTCATAGTTTTACTATTCCATCTGCAGGTTTTAAAATTGATGCTATTCCTGGTAGATTAAATACTATTACTTGTAATTTTGATAGAAAAGGAACTTTTTATGGTCAATGTTCTGAGTTATGCGGTGTATTTCATTTTGGTATGCCAATAATTTTTGAAATAGTATCTATTAAAGATTATTTTACTTGGTTAAATACTATAAATGATTAAAAATAAAAAAAAATTTTTAATAAATAATTAAAAAAAAAAAAAATATTTTTTTAATATATTATAAATGGTTAAATTAAATTAATGTCACGAATGACTTTTGAAAATATACGATTATTGGTTATGGGAATTATTTGCATATATTTATTTAAACATGGTTCAGAATTATTTATTTTATTAAAACTAGAAGGAGGACAATTTATTAATTATTTTAATAATTATGGAATTAATTACTTTAAAACTAATATTTCATATCAAGATTGTTTAGCTATGATTAATAATCCTGAACTTTATAATATTAAAGTTCAAAAAGATTGTTATACTGCTATTCCAGAACCTATAATGCCTTCATCTAAAATATTAATAGAAGCTTCTACTGTAGGAGCATTAATACTTTTATTTGAAATTATTTATATAACACAATTTATCTTTAATTAATTATATTTTTATTCATTTTATTTTAATATTTATTCTTATTTTATTACTGAGATTATAATTCTAATTATAAATTATTATAATAATAATTTATAATTTTATATTTTATTTTATTTAGATAATCAATAATAATACAATTATTATTAAATTTATATTATTTTTATTTATATATATATAATTTTATATATTTAATTTATTATATATTTAATATTATATAAAAATATATAAAAATATATTTGTCAGATTAGCTTAATTGGTAAAGCAGTAATTTTGTAAATTACTTTATATGGATTCAATTTCCTTATCTGGCTTTACCTACTTGGAGAAATTGGTAGACTCAAATGACTTAAAATTGTTTACTCTATGAGTATGAGGGTTCAAGTCCCTCAGTAGGTAATAAAGAGAAGAATGCATTTTGGTATTGTAATCGTCCTGTAAAGACGATGGTTTTAAACCGTTCTGGGTTCAAATCCCAGTCTTCTCAAAATTTTTATTTTAAGAGGAGATAGCTTAATGGTAAAGCCTACTACTCATAATAGGAAAGATATGAGTTCAAATCTTATTCTCCTTAAATAAAATAAAAATACGAATAAGTGTAATAGGTTTTTGCACATAAGACTCATTATCTTAAAGAGATTGTTCAAATCAATCATTCGTAATTTGAAAATTTATTATAATTTTTCAATAAAAAAAAATTTAAATAAATGCGAATAAGTGTAATAGGTTTTTGCACATAAGACTCATTATCTTAAAGAGATTGTTCAAATCAATCATTCGCAAATTTTAAAGATATTATTTAAAATATAAATGTGAATAAGTGTAATAGGTTTTTGCACATAAGACTCATTATCTTAAAGAGATTGTTCAAATCAATCATTCACAAATATAAGATCTCATCATCTAAAGGTAGGATCTAGCACCTTCATTGCTATAATGTTCGTTCAAATCGGACTGAGATTAAAAAGGAATCGTAACTTAAAGGTTAAAGTGTTTGCTTGATAAGCAAAAAATAATGGTTCAATTCCATTCGATTTCAATAAATAAAGATTAGATATCTTAAATGGTAAAGTATTGGGCTGCAAACCTTATTATGAGTGTTCAATTCACTCTCTAATCTTATAATAAATAATAAAAGAGTATAACTTAATTGGTAAAGTAACAAACTTTTAATTTGTATTATTTGGGTTCAAATCCCAATACTCTTAAAATATATTAAGCCTTGATAGCTTAACTGGTAAAGTACAGAACTGAAAATTCTGGTTAGAATGTTCAAGTCATTCTCAAGGCAAAAAAAAAAAAATAAATAAAGCTATAGTAGCTTAATGGTAAAGCAAATCACTGTTAATGATCGGATCTTTGTTCAATTCAAGGCTATGGCTAAAAAAAAGGAAAAATCGCCTAATGGTATGGCAATAGTTTGCTAAACTATGCATTTATAAAATGTTTGGGGGTTCGAATCCCCTTTTTTCCGAAAAACAAAAGGATAAAAATTATCCTTAAAAAAAAAAAAATAATGAAATTAGCTTTATTATTATTTTTAATAGGAATTTATGGAATAATATTAAATAGAAAACATTATTTATTAGTATTAATATCTATTGAAATATTATTATTAGCTATAACTATATTAGTACTTTATTTTTCTATTCTTCATGATGATATGTTAGCACAAATATTTGGTTTATATATTATATCTATAGCAGCTGCTGAAACAGCTGTAGCTTTATCTATATTAGTAGCTTATTATAGATTAAGAGGAACAATAAATATAACTACTATATCAGAAAAAACAACAATTTTATTACCTAAATTTATATTATAATTCTAAAAATAAAAAATAAAAATAAAAGTAATAAAAAAAATAAATATATATAAAAATTTTAAATTTTTATATATTTTATAAGGGTAAATGACTGAGTTGGTTTAAGGTACTTCGCTTGAAACGGAGAGAAGTTTTGAATAACTTCCATGGGTTCAAATCCCATTTTGCCCGTACGGATAGTAGCGTAATAGGTAACGTATCTAACTTGGGCTTAGAAGATTATAAGTTCAAATCTTATCTATCCGATATAAAAAAATATGGAAAAAAAAAAAAGAAAAAGGGAAGGAATGAATACATTATTATTATTTATTATATTAACACCTATTATATTAATAATATTATTAATAATTAATCTTATTATACCTGTAAATAAACCTGATTTTTCAAAATTATCACCATATGAATGTGGTATGGATACAATAGGTACAGCAAGAGAAAAATTTAATATACAATTTTATTTAGTAGCTATATTATTTTTAATATTTGATATAGAAGTAATATTTTTATTTCCTTTTGCATCTGTTTTATATAATATTTCTTTATTTGGTTTTTGGGTTGGTACTATATTTATATTTATTTTAACTATTGGTTTTATTTATGAATTAAGTAAAGGTATTTTAAATTTTATACAAAATTAATTCTAAATAAAGGGAAATAATTTAATTGGTAAAATGTTGGTCTCCAAAACTGATTTTAAAGGTTCAAATCCTTTTTTCCTTGATTTATATATATTATTATTACACTCTTTACTTAATAGGTTAAAGTAATAATCTTCGAAATTATATATATGGGTTCAATTCCCTTAGAGTGTTAAAAGGCGAATATAGTTTAATGGTAGAACTACAATTTGTGGTTTTGTTAATATGGGTTCAATTCCCTTTATTCGCCCTATAATAATATACTCGTTTAGCTTAATTGGATAAAGCATCGATCTTCTAAATCGTTTATTGAAGGTTCAATTCCTTCAACGAGTATTATAAAAATTTTTATTACAAATATATTTATATACTTTATTTTCTTATTTAATATATTTTTTATTTATTATTATAAATTTTTTATATATTTTATTCTCCTTAAAAAAAATATTTTATTATATAATTTAATTATATAATAAAATATTTTTACACAATAATGACTATAAGTTTTATAAATCAATTAAATTGATTATATATATCTAAATTATTAACAAAATAAATACTATAAAATCATCTAAAGCATCTATATCAAAAAAAGATGTAAATGAAAGTTAAAAAAAAAAAAAAACAAAAGAACCAACTTTAGGTAAATATATACCATTTTATGATAAAATAAAGCTTCTAGTTATAATTAAACTATATAAAAAAAAAAAAATGAAATATAAATTTTTTAGCAATTAAATCAGACTTACCGTAAGATTATGCTTCATTTCAATTCTTAGCTAACATAACAATTTATTATGTTTACAAAATATGAAATTTATAAAATATGTAAATAATGGATTATTATTTTCAAAAAGAAAGCCAATGCTATAAAATTTTATTTATAATCTTTTAAATATAAGAATTATAAAATTAGTGAAGAAGGAATCAAGTAAAAAAAAAAATAAATCTCGTTATTGAGGAGTAATAATAAATGAAAAAAAAAAAAAAAGAAAAAATAGATGAGAGATACTTCAAAATAAAATGATAAAATCTAAAGATAAATAAAACTCTAAGCTGATTATAAAATCTAAAAATCAAGACAATGAATATCAAATGGGAAAAATTAAAAAATAATTTCAAACAAATAATATTTTGACTAATTACTAAATAACTATCATACTAAAAAAAGTATATAAAATCACCAAATTTATAGTAAACTTTTAATCTAAAAGTATGTTAAAAAAAAATTAAATGATCAGTGAAAATAATGAAAAGATGAAGTATGCTAATATAAATCATAAAAATTAATATAAGAGATAGATTTAATATAAATACACACCTTATCTATTGTTATATCATTATTATCATGTATTTATTTAAAATTATTTATTCTCGTTAAATAAATAATATTATTAAAATCGAGAATTTTATAATTTTTATTTAATTCTTATATAAATAAAAAGTTAACACTAGAAAATAGAATAATTTATTCTATAAAAAAAAATAATAAGTATAGAATTATAACCGTATTAAAAGTAAAAAAATAAAAATCGAAAAAAAAAAAAAATATAGAATTATAACCAAATAAATAAAAAAATATAAAAAATAAATAATAATATATTTAATTAAATTCTACGTCTAACTAACTCATTATTAATATCTCCTGAATAATAACTATTATAAAAATTATATTCATTATATGAAATCGAAGGTAAACCAAAATTAATTCTATTATCATTAATTAAGTTATACGCTGCTCTATTTATTAATTCAATTGAATTGTGAGTTCTAATATTTCTGTTAAAATTGTAATTTATAGTATTTTCAATTACAATACGAGGGAATAACTCAACAGTATAACTTCTATTTATATCAATAAAATTATTTAAACTCCTTCTTTCTGTAATAAAATAAAATAAAGACCTATAGCTAGCATTATTATTATTAAAAATTATATCCCTAATTCTATGTAAATAATTGATTCCAGATTCTATACGTAGAAAATTACGAAACCTAGTATTTCTAAATCTCTCTAAACTAAAAGAATTTATATAATCTTGAGTAAAATGGCTAATGGCTGTATTAATTGGACTTAAAATAAAATGTACATTATATAAATCTGGAAGATTAAGATTACGATTAGAAAAGGATAAAAATCTATTAACCAATGAATCTCTTGTATAAATATTTAACAATACATCATTGGGAATATTATTTTGAATGATAAATAAGTTAGTTCTAGTATATAAGTTATAAGAAGAAGAATTAGTGATCATATTAGAAATAACAATTTGATCTATAGCTTGGGTAAATACCATCAAAATAATAAATTGATCAACTTCTTCAATAAATTCAAATTGAGATGCAATATATATTATTTCCTTATGAAGAGGATGATTATTTAAATAATTTTTTAAAGTTAAATATAATTGATCATTGGGTATTAATTGAAATTCCTTAATTATTTCCCTTATAAAATAATTATCCAAATGATTTTTCATTAAAATAAATTTTTCCAAATTTTTAATTCTATTATTACCTAATAATAAATTATTATTTAAATAGGGAAAATTCAAATTCTCTGAATTTATAGAATTTAATTGATGCCTATCAGAAGTAGGTAAATACCAATTGTTATTATATATATTTAAATAATTCATTATAATAGAATGATTACAACTATGAATAATAGGGGGAATATTTAGAATATAATTATTATAATTATTGATAAATAAATTATTACTAAATATATTTAAATTACTACTAATATTATGAACAGGATTTAAAATAGAATTGAAAAAAGGTAAATTTAAAGGATAAGAAACTAAAGAATGATTTTCAATTTGTGTATTTATAGAATTAGAGGTTACCGAATCTACTAAATTAGAATTCTGTGAATTAATAGAGGAACTTGAAATATCAAGATGAGAATTATTTAAATTAAAAAAATTATTTCAATAATTCTCTTCATCTGGTGAAAAAAATACGAATGTAAAATTTTTTTCATTATTTTTACTAATTTTATTAATATTTAAATTCTCTTTTTTTAAAAGTAATTTATTATCCAATAAATTAAATTTATTTTTTTCTATAATAAAATCTAATTTAAATGCATTATTTAAAAAGTAAATAGAAAAAGGAAAGGCATATAAGTAAAAATTTAAAATTATAAAAAATAATGAAATTATAACCAAAAAATACTGTATAAATTTAAAATATTTAATATTTTTTGTATAGTTTAATTTGAAAATAAAAAAAATCATCAAATTTAAAAAATTAATATAAAAAAATAAATATCGAATATTTATAAAAGAAAAAAAGTAAGAAAATAAAAAAAATAAAAAAAAAATAAAATAAAAATTAAAAAAAAAATTAAAAACCTTAAATAAAAAATTTTTAAATTTTATATTTTTATTTATTAAAAATAAAAAATAATTTTTTATGTAATTTTTATTTAATAAAAACAAAATAAAAAAAATAAAAAAAAATGAATAAAATTCTAGTATATAATATATATATCCTATAAATAAACAATAAAGATTATAATAAAATGTATATATTTTATAAAAATTACAATTTTTTATAATAAATTTTTCACCAATTAATATTATAAAAATGATAAAATTTATAATTATATAACAATATATCTGTAATTTTATTTTATAATTAAAATTAAAGTATATTAAAAATAATTCTATTACATCTATATTTATAATTTCATAAAGATATAATAATAAAAAACTACTAAAAGCTATATTAGTACTATGAATAATAATAGCTAAAAGAAAATTTTTACCTATAAAGAAAATGGATGTTAATAAAAATTTAATTTTTTTCATATTAAGAATTATTATTAAATGTTAACTTAGGTAATTCTTCTATATAATGTATAGGTGTTGGTGAAGGTAAAATTCATTCTAAATAAGGTGAAAAATTAGAAGAAGTAAAAAGTGATAAATAATTAGAAAAATTAAAAATTTCTAAATCATACCAATAATTATTATCTGCTAATTCATTAGAAGTAATTTGATCCAACAACATATATAAAAATAATATTGTACTTATTACTGATATTAATGATCCATATGATGATATTATATTCCATTCTAAAAATGCATCAGGATAATCAGGAATTCGTCTAGGCATACCAGCTAAACCTAAAAAATGTTGCGATATTAAAAATCTTATTAATTTATAATCTTATTATAACTATAAATTAAACCATTATGTAAATCTTGATTTTCTAATAGTTTTTTTAACGTATAAAAATTAACTTTAGCATACTTCATTGTATCGTTTATACTATTAAACTTACAAATAAATTTTTTTGTTTTTCCATAAAAAACAAAAATTTCTTTACGATAAGAAATTACTTTCGTAATAATGGTAAAATTTTCATATTTACCTTCTGTTATAGCAGTTCTTGCTGTTTTACCATCAATATTAAAATATCTTGCCATTTCTCTGCCCGATTTAAATTCTAATGCTGATTCATTATCTTCTCGTTAACGAGAGTCACATTTTTTCTAAGTTGATTATCCCCTTTTGGTTTATAATTATACTCATAAAAATTTTCTAAAGGAATAGGTTCAAAAGAAAGAATAAAATTTTTAAAAATATATTTAT